AAAAGCAGCTATATTTGCTATTTTTATTTTATTTTATTGCACAGGGCGCTTTTATTGAAGGACAGTGTAGGAACGCAAATAACAATAACAGGGGAAACTCCCTGGAAATGGAAAACTACCTGAATGTTGGCTTCTGTATACATTCAGAAGTATGTAGGATTTCTGCGCACCTGACTGCCTTTCACGCCAGTGTATTGCTGTGGTTGGAGGGTTGGATGAGTACCTGGGAGACCAGGGGTCAGATCTTCACCTGGCCACGAAGCTCACTGGGTCACCTTGGGCCAGTCACTGCCTCTCAGCCTAACCTACCTCACAGCTATGTAGCGGGGGGAGGGACACGGGGGGGGGGGGAGACCATATACACCACCTTGAGCTCCTTGGAGGAAAAGGGAAACATTATTATTTATTATTTTTTATTGAATTTATATACCGCCTTATACGCGGGGGGTCTCAGGGTGGTTCACAGAATTAAAATCAAGATATAAAACCACAAAATACATAATAATAATAAAAACAACAACCCAATAGCCCCCCCCCCCAAAAAAACCACACATTTTAAAAGGGCATAGGATGTAAATCAGATCAACCAAAGGCCTGGTTAAAAAGGAACAGTTTTGCCTGGCGCCTAAAGGTGTATAATGAAGGCGCCTGGCGAACTTCCCTGGGGAGAGCATTGCACAGACAGGGAGCCACTGCAGAGAAGGCCCCGTTCTCATGTTGCCACCCTCCGGCCCTCTCGAGGAGGAGGCACACGAAGGAGGGCCTCAGAAGATGATCTCAGGGTCCGGGTAGGTTCATATGGAAAGAGGCAGTCCTTGAGGTATTGCGGTCCTGAGATATAAATGCAGTAAGCGTATATAATAAGTAGGCAGTATGTTCTGCCACCACATTCCGCTGCATGTCTTGGTGGAACGGACTCCCCTGAGAGACGGCAGACTCTCCTTCCTTGGAGGTTTGTAAGCAGAGGTTGGGTGGCTGTTTGTTACCTGTGATCTACTTGGGATTCCAGCATTGTGGGGGGTTGGATCTGATGACCCCCGGGGCCCCACCCAACTCGACAATTCTATGTCAGCTTCTCTTTCCGGTAGCATAGGGCAAGCGGTTGTTTGGACTGTGTTTCGTAGAGGACTGCTGTGAAAATCTTGCCTACTCCTATTCCCCCCTCCCCATGTTCAGTATAAAACATAAGTTGACCTTCTGTGTATGATTCCAAACGGGCAGCGTGTTTTCTCACGGTGCATTAACTCCCGCTTCTGCGGTGCCATGGCTCTGCTGGCTTGGATGCAGCGGGGTGGCTGACTGCAAAGGTCCTGCATGAAATGAGCTGCGGACGCAAACATCTCGCTGCCATCGCCCACCCAGTTCTTTCAGTCACCTGCAAATGCCGCTCATCAAAGCAGATCCAGAGATCTGGCTGCCTCTTTAGCTCATTAAGGCTTGATGGAGATGGAGCCTGGGCAGCCTGTCACAGACTAGGCTCTCTGGCCTCTGTTTGCACCCAGTCAAGCTGGCGTAACAGCTTTGCCCTTTTCTGAGCACTTCCATCTCTTTCCAAATGAGCTGCAAACATCTTATAACAGCTTTGCGAACCACCTTCCGGGCAATGGAGCAGTTGCTTAGAATTGTAGACTTGGAAGGGGCTCTGAGAGTCCGACCCCCTGCAATGCAGGGATCTCAGCCTAAAGCATCTAAAGCTTAACTGTGGCTTGGCAATTTGGGAGTCTCCTTTTGCGCTCGGCTAAATAGAGCCTCCAGCTACAAATGCACTATATCTCTTGAGTACCAGATTCCGAGAGCAAATGAAAGAAAGCAATTGATTTCACTTCCTGCTTGTGAACTTCCCAGCGTCAAACTGTTGGCTTTTGGAAACTTTAGGTGGACTTTTGGGACCAATGAGGACATCATAGTCACCCATGATTTGTTTTGATGGGAACGGAGAGCCTTAGCATGCTTCTCCCCTCCTCTGGCATAATCTGAGGGCCAGAAGTCTTCCTGATTGACTGCAGTTCAGCATGTTGTCCAAATCCTAAGCTGTGGCTGGCCTTAACTATGGTTTGCTTAAAACAAGTCTGCTTCTTAACCCATGGTTTGGAGTTGGCTTATTTCAAACAAGCGAGTAGTAAATATACTGTGACTTGCTTCAAACAAGTTTTAGTTAAGGTTAACCACAATCTGTTAGGTTCGGACAAATTGGCAGCCTGCTGTTAATCAAAAACGGAAGCAAAAGCTTCTGATCTCTTTGTGGCTGCGCTGGAGGAAGCTGAGCTTGGTTGTGCAGAAGCCCAAAACTCACTGTGGCTTCTTTCTGTCACGGTAAGCCACGCAGGCTGTTATCAGGGATAAAATTCCTAGATCAGATCACCCATGCCCTCTTAGGAGTGTTGCGGCATGGTTGTGTTAGGCTTTAAAATGTTTTAATATTCTTTTAATATTCCATCAGTTCTGATTGTAGCTTTGGATGGGCATTTGCCCAGATAAATAAATAGGCGAGGGGGTATATTGACACCTTTTAGCACGGCCACTGGTGAAGCAGCACCCGAAATTCGCCAGGAGCCAAGCACATTTTGTGCCTGGCTATCAGCCTCTTAGGGACGCAGGTGGCGCTGTGGGTTAAACCACAGCCTAGGACTTGCTGATCAGAAGTTCGGTGGTTTGAATCCCCATGACGGGGTGAGCTCCTGTTGCTCGGTCCCTGCTCCTGCCAACCTAGCAGTTTGAAAGCATGTCAAAGTGCAAGTAGATAAATAGGTACCGCTCCGGCGGGAAGGTAAACGGCGTTTCCGTTCGCTGCTCTGGTTCGCCAGAAGCGGCTTAGTCATGCTGGCCACATGACCCGGAAGCTGTACGCTGGCTCCCTCGGCCAATAAAGTGAGATGAGCGCCGCAACTCCAGAGTCGGCCACGACTGGACCTAACGGTCAGGGGTCCCTTTACCTTTACTTATCAGCCTCTTGCAACCGAGTGAAGATGCCTGGGTGCCAGGATGGCGCCTGACGTCTTCCCCAACTGCAGGTGCATGCCTGGGAATCCTTGGATCTTGCCTGTTTTCGCACACCTAACATCCTGTAGAATTCTGTCCGTAATATTTTATCTGCACAAATCAGAATGAATTTCAGGAACCCCAAAGGTTCTCTTGAAAAATGCAATTTCCGAGCCGTCTGGCCCCAAATTGGCAACTGGGCATTCCGTTTGGGCGACTGTAACCCTGGTTTAAGGAGCTGTTTGGCACCTAGATACAGTGGCACCTCAGGTTAAGTACTTAAATCGTTCCAGAGGTCCGTTCTTAACCTGAAACTGTTCTTAACCTGAAGCACCACTTTAGCTAATGGGGCCTCCTGTTGCTGCCGTGCCGCTGGAGCACGATTTCTGTTCTCATCCTGAAGCAAAGTTCTTAACCTGAAGCACTATTTCTGAGTTAGTGGAGTCTGTAACCTGAAGCGTATGTAACCTGAAGCATATGTAACCCGAGGTACCACTGTATATGAGTTCCTAACACTGTGCTGAAGATAGCCTGCAAGTTGAGAGGCCATGAAATACGACTGCAGTCTTTTACGTGGAAAAGGACTCTTGAACCGACGCTCTTAAAGCAGGAGAAAGGAGCCGCTGCCTCGTCCCACACCAGTCTTTAGCAAGCCTTCATCGCTTCCCCACAAGTGGCCTGTAAACACAGGGGTGGGGAGCCTCTTTGCAGCTGGGGCTGCATTTCCTTCTGGGCCACCTGCCAGCGGTAAGCAGGTCCAGAGGCAAAAGCGGGTGGAGCGAGCAATACACCTTTTACCTTCATACAGGTGGCTAGTCCCTACACTACTTGCACAACCCTTTCTGGCCTCCATCCCCAGAAGCAAAAGGCGCCATCAGAGTTTCCAGCCAGGCAAAAACACCCAAGGCCAAAGCGAAGCAGGACCACTGGGGTCTCGACTGAGAAGAGGAGGCTTAGCTGTGCAGGGGATGGGGCGTGGCAGATTTCTGAGGGCCAGGTAGTGAGGCTTGGAAGGGCCACACCTTACCCCTCGGCCTGAGGTTCCGCACCCATGTGTAAAATGTCTCACACCTGTTCAGTTTAAGGGGCATTTGGGACAACGCCTCGCCCCTTTTCCACAGAAGCTTTTGTTCTTAGGCTTGCTGAGGCAGCAAAATCAGCTTCCTGCCTCTGGAGGCTTTCAGAGGAAGTACCCTAAAAGACAACTTAATGGTCCTGAAGAAAGGGGAGCAGCGCAGAGGTGGACGTTTTGGTACCTGGGGCAGAAAAACCTGTTGATTGAGATGGCCGCCTCTGAGCACACACCAGAAGAGGTTCACCGTGTTTTAACGGCAACAACGAAACCTTTCCCCGCTTTTCAGCTCACGCCAATCTTTTTAAATCACCGGTTTAAAGCCTCCTTATTCTAAACCTTTTGCACTCACTTTCTTTTCACAAATCTGTAACGGTACCCATACCCCCAAACCTTGACCCCACACCCTCTTTTTGTCTTCGCCGTCTCCAGTTGAGCACCATGCGACTTAACCTTTGCAGAAACCACGCTGCCCGGCCCTCTGTTCAGTAATCTGATTACTGTGCGGCAAATCTTCTGCACGCCCCCCCCCTTCCCTCGATAACTTCACCATTGGGCTGCCTTTAAGAAATCCAGAAGTCAGAGCCTCCACCTGCGCCGAGATTGAGTGGCAGGTTCCGATGTCTTTGTTGAATCGGGGAAATATCCGGCGTTTGTGGTCAAATGAGCCTTAGTCATGAATTTTCCGGCGGCGGGGGGGCGCAGAATCCTTCTCATCCAGCAACTATGTTTAAAAATAACAGTAAATAACTCGTGCCATGAGGTCAGCTGCTTCTCGGCTGCATGGATAGCTGCATAATGAGTCTTTCCTTAACCTCCCCGTTCCGCAGGGCGCAGTGCGAGATGGATCAGCTTGACGAACCTCCACCTACGGAGAAGGCCTGAAACAGCAGCCTCTCCTAATATTCAGGGGTGTCATGTCTCTGGCAGTAGAGCCTTCATGCCTAGTGGCTAGGGATAGCTCAGTTGGCAAAGCATGAGACTCTTAATCTCAAGGTTGTGGGTTCGAGTCCTATGCTGGACAAAACATTCCTGCATTGCAGGGGGTTGGACTAGATGGCTCTTGTGGTCCCTTCCAGCTCTACAGTTCTATGATTCTAATGCCATTGTAGGGCTAGGGGGGACCAGTTCATGTTCCCCAAACTTTCGTGCTGATGATGTCTCTCATGTTGGAGCCACCCAGAGTAGCTGGGGCCACCCAGTCCGACGGGCGGCATATAAATAATAAAAATATAAAAATAATAATTAACCTCCTGGTAGAATGGCTGTTGCTGGATAAGGTTCCTGGAGGGTGGGTGCCAAATGGCAGCCGGTCGGTTTTTAAAACTTATTTCACTCAACTTTTTCGTTCCCATTTCGAAAGCAGTTTGCAAAATAACGCGCGCCCCCCCCCCCCCCCGAAAGAGCTCTAAAAGGCAAAAGCAAACAGCACAGCAAGAAAATAGGTCAACAGGTGGGAAGCTGTGAGGTCTCTGGTTTATGGAGTTTCACAAGACCATCACAGAGAAGACCTTACTTGTAGCGCAGACTTGCCACTTCCTAGGAAGGCACTTGGAGCAGGGCTTAATCAGATGATCTTACATGCTGGCGGGGGCTTCTGTGGGAGAAGGTGTTCCTTGTGATGCATCAGGTCCCACTATTCTGGCCTGACCAAGAAATGTGACCCAAGATGGAACACTTTGGATAGGAGCAAGGAGTGTTCTGTAGCGGCTGGTGTCACTAGGGTCACCAAAATGTCCCCAACCGCACCCATATTTACTTTCCCCCAAATAAAAGTAGCCTTGAAGTCACTTTGCCAAGTAAGTTGTATATACATTAACTAATAAGTGAAGAGCCATTCATCCATTCTTTGCTATGAGGGTAGGTGATAATTTGCCCATAATATGTGTGTGTAATATATCCACGTGCATAAAAAGCAATATATGGTTCCTCTCCTGTCATAATACCGACGACATGCATTTTTGCTCATCAAGTACATCTGAAACTCTGTCCCCTGGATTATGTCGCTGTCTAGGAACAAAATGATGCTCTGGATGGGGAGAGCTCCTAGCTGCTGTCTGCAGTTTTTTTTAATTGTGCTCATCTGTGGGATTTGCCCAAAGAAGCACAACGTGCTTGTGGTTTTCCTGACAGTCAGAAAGAGCAGAAAATACACACTTTGTCATCTCAGGAGTTTGGCAGGTTGTGGTTGTAGGTGGGTTGGGGGTTTGTTAGTTTTTTGGATTCCAGTTTCAAAAAAAGTTTATCTAGAATCCTGTGTGGCCCTGGCAGAGCTGGTCCAACCAGCCTTGAAGTCCAGTTTGTCCTGCGTTTCCCTTGGTCACTGTTCCCTGAGGACCTAAAGCCCAGGGGTTGCAAAAGGGCATATTTCACAGGCAAGGATGGTGGAGCAAAAAACAAAAACAAACGAGCCTCGTCTGGAAAGATTCCTTTGTGATGGCATTTACTTGAGCCTCTTGATCTTCCACTGTCTTATCTTTTGCTCTGATCATAGCATTGCAAATCATCATCATCATCAACATTTTATTTGAATTTCGCCTTTCCATAGTTGAAACTGTGCTCAAGGTGGCTTACGACATGACAAGATTTCCATAATTCCAAACATAGCAGAAGTCACAAACAATAAATAAAACACATAAAAATGTACACAACCAAATGGAAACAATTTCCATGTAAATCATAAGATCTAAGACTAAAGATGCAACAATAATATCAATAACAGCAACAAGCTCCCTCAACACCCCGTAATCAATACTCCAGCCCAAGAATCTGTTCAACAGCTTTTGTAGCTGGAGTCAGTCCGCACTCCACTCTCCCAGGCCAGATGGGAAAATGCCAGTAAGGCAGGGTGCAGGTCTTCCAGGGCTCACAGCCAAGATGGTCTCATTTAAAACAACACACATAAAAATTAAAAGCAATTTAAAAGCAGCTGCAGTCCTTGTGAAGCCTGTCAAGCCCCGCCCCAATCCAGGTGGAAAAAGGCAAGGGCAGGGTCCTTCAGGCCTCTTGTATATAGCTGCGTCAAAATCGGGAATGCTATGAGAGGGGAGCTAGTCCTCCCTATGTAGTCGAACTGTAGCAAGATGCACTGTAAGTGGCAGTGTTTAACAAGGGAGCCAGCCACTGGAGGCTGAAAGCAGCCCTTTGCCAGCTAACCCACCCAGCTGCCGACTCAGAAGCAAGAGAAGTTGAGGTTAGCTGAGATTCCTGCATTGCAGCGGGTTGGACTAGATGACCCGTGGGTCCCTCCCAGCTCTTAAGATTCTAAGTGTGTGACAGGGTGGCAGGCAGGTGGACTGCTCTGGGGAAGGCGAGGTGGGGCTGGCCCTGCAAAAGCCAGTTGCCAACCGGTAATCTAGCATTTGGCGTTTGGAGTGAAGTGGAAGATTGTGTTGGAATGCGACACTCCTCTTCTGGCTACAGCAGTACGTGATTTTCTAAGGTGTTCTACAAAAGCCCTTCGTTTCAAAGTCTGTGCATGCTTCCTGGTTGCAACCATGGCAGAAGTTGCATTATTTCGGCTTTGGGTGGAGGGGAGGAGGAAGCAAGTGGTGTGGATTTGCCAGCAGAAGATCTCAAGTTCATCTTGACCTCCCATGCAGGTGGCAACGCCCAGTTTGATCTAGACAAACGTTAGCTCCCTGCTAAGAATTCACCGCTAGAGCAAAGGGGTTAAACTGAGCCTAGTCTGATAGACTACTAACTGAGCCTTTCAAAAAAGATAAGAAAAGTTGCTCGCCAGCCTATCCACATGTAAATTTCCATGCTGCTGGTGGGTTTTCCCCTCTGTAAATTCTTGTAGATCTTCACTTCCTGGTTGTCTGGAATTACCTGAACAAGTGGCTGTTCCCAACGATTGCTGGAGAGTCTTGTTCATCCACACACAATCCTGTGAGATAGGTCACCATCCCCGAGGTTGGTCCGGATCCCTGTATTGCAACATAAGAGAACTGAAGCTGAGTCCATGTTTGAGAATGGGCTTTGTACCAAGGTCCACGGATAATATTGTTCTGGTAGTGGCGACGAAGGTTGGTTAAGTGGCCCCAATGTCACAGAGAGCATGGACCAGACAGGAGGGCCACTATCCGCCCTTTGCCGAGACACTCTAGGAAAGGAAACTGGACCTAAGGAAGGGTAGAGACAGGATAGCCAGCATGGTGCACTCTCTGTATGTTTTTGGACTCCAGTTCCCATCATCCAGCATGGTTGGGGATTATGGGAGTTGGAGTCTGAATGGCATCCCATTGGCTGCCTCAGTAACAGGCAGTGTTAGAAACTCAGACCTATAAGCTAGGTGCCAAATGGCTCCTTAAACCAGGGTTACAGTCGCAAAACGGAATGCCTAGTTGCCAGTTTGTGATCTCATTATTTCCAGCACACGCCTGTACATTAGTCCAAATTAAGCTCTAATTAACAGGAGAACCTCTGCTTCTTAATGGCGGCGTACGGGGGTAAAAGTCATCTTTTTCAATAGGACTTTTTGGTTCCTGAAATTCATTCTGATGGTACAGATGAAAAACCATGAATAGAATGCTAAAGGATGTGCTGTTAGTATGAAAACAGGCAAGGTCCAAGAATCCTTAGGCATGCACTTCCAGGATTCGTCAGGTGCAATCCTGGCACCCTGAGCATCTTCACTCGGTCACAAGTGGCCAATAAAGGTAAAGGTAAAGGGACCCCTGACCATTAGGTTCAGTTGTGGCTGACTCTGGGGTTGCGGCGCTCATCTCGCTTTATCGGCCGAGGGAGCCGGTGTACAGCTTCCGGGTCATGTGGCCAGCATGACTAAGCCGCTTCTGGCGAACCAGAGCAGCGCACAGAAACACTGTTTACCTTCCCGCCGGAGCGGTACCTATTTATCTACTTGTACTTTGACGTGCTTTCGAACTGCTAGGTTGGCAGGAGCAGGGACCGAGCAACAGGAGCTCACCCGTCACGGAGATTCGAACCGCTGACCTTCTGATCGGCAAGTCCTAGGCTCTGTGGTTTAACCCACAGCACCACCCGCCAATAGCTAGGTGCAAAATGCCCCTGGCAAATTTTGAACGCTGACAGTAGAGGAAGCAGAAACCTAGGCAAGGAGGAAGAAGGGATAGTGGGCCTGTGACTGAAGGGAGCAAGTTTGGAAGGAGGAGAAACTAGGAAACAAATGGTCAGGTGAGAGGCAGCCATGACTAGGATTCAGACTGAAGACTGGAGAGGTGTATGGTGATCTTAAATTAACCAGCCAATTTTTTTTGGCCACAGGCCTTTAGCTAATATTGGAAGGTGAAGGCAAATGCCCCCGTTTTAACCCATCATTAAAAACCCGTCATTCTTTCTGCGTGTTTATTTTTATTGAGTAATCTAAATTTCCACAGAGCTGAATTAAAACGAAGCATCTTTTTTTATATTTAGAATATTCCAATAAGGGTTGGGGATGGGGAAGAACAATTCTCTCTCCTCTGCATTCCCCACCCCATGTCTGCCCAGTGCCATCTGTCTCTGTTTATGGAATCCTCCAGACTGGAGTTTAAAACTTGGCAACTGTGCCTGCACTGTGGTGTCTGACCATCTTGATAATTGATGCTTGTAGCAAAACAGTCAGAGAGCTGGCAAAAAAAGAGAGAGAGGCCCCCATTCCTTGCTTTGGGAATACGGTGGGGGGTGGATACCTTTTGGGGGGGGCGGGTTAGTCTTTATCTGCTAGTTCAGCAGAGTTTGCAGTAGACCTAAGTAATGTCAGCCACCTTTGTGAAAAAGGAAAGGGGTGTGGAAATTGTGATGCAATTCACTATTTAGACAGGTAGCTTATCATGTGCATGTAGGAGAAATCTAACCAAGTTTGAGTTCTTGGCAAGATGCTGATTCGAAGCCACCTCTGCTGGAGATTAGTTTCAACTCCAAGCAAGTGTCTTCATGCCTCCCAAATGGAAAGGGATGCTTACCTTCAAGGAAGCTCATTGGGAACCATTGTGGGGCTGCTAAGGCTGCTTTTCCAAATTGTTAGTAGCCTGCCTTTTCCGCCCATGCTAAGGTGAGTCA